AGGAAAGAGCTGCAGAGAGGGGTGGGGGCAGGGTCCTGGGCAGGGTGCAGGGAGCAGGACCCTGAGGGGCAGCGTGTCCAGCCTGCTGGGCGTGCTGGCCGCGTGGTGGAATGGGTTGGGCCCACCAACCCACCATCACAGGTCCCAGGCTGGAGCGTCCCCCATCTCTTCCCATCCTGGCTGCAGCCCTCAGGAGTCTCATCTTCACTGAGCACATACCCCCACCCAGGGAGCACAGAAGCACCCCCAACACCTCCCTGAGACTGGCAGAGGGACTGATCTGGGCAGAGGCTGCTCTGGCCCTGGAGGCCTGCCACCAGGCGAGGGGCTGCAGAGGCACCACTGCCCAGTCCTTCCCAGGAGACTCAGCAACTGCTTGTCCTCGCTTCAAAGTCAGAAGGCAGTGCCCAACCCCCGGGGGCCTCTGGTGGCCCAGCTCCTGTGGGCAGCTGGCATTCCAAAGTGATCCTACACCCTGGATAGGGGCACAGCCCAGTCCATCGGAGCGGGAGGTCCTCACAGGCCCCACTCCTGGAGCCACCCACCCAGCCTCGTTGCCAGGGAGGGAGTGGACCAGGAACAGCCTGGCGCCTGTTGGAGGACCACCCTTGCCGCAGGGGAGCAGGAGGTATCCACTGCCTGGGACCTGGGCTGAGTGTGTGCCTCCTGCACTCCTCACTCCTGAGCCTGGAGCCCTGTTGCCAGCGTGCACAGGGACAGCCGTGGAGGGGGACTACATTGGCTGAGCAGGGCGAGTTCCGGGACCGCAGGCGCACAGGGCCATCAGGGCGCGGCAGGCGTGGGGCCTCTCTGGGTGAGGAGCTGGCTGCAGACCGCAAAGACAAGCAGAAGGAGGGGATCGGACAGTGAGTCTGTGAGGAACACAGGCAGGGGCAGCAGCTGGGGTGGGCAGCCAGCTCCTGTCAACAACTTGGAGGCTGGTGGCAGAGAGGCCAGGACTGGGATGAGAAGACAAGGCTCCTGTCACAGGATGTGTCCTGAGCCACTGGTGGGAAGATCTGGGTAAGATGACAGCCCAGCCTGTCCGCCCTGCCCCTTCCACTGCTCCTGTGTCCCCAGGAGCCCCTCCCCTCACCTGCAGTACTGCAAGGCCCAGGTGCCACGGGCTCAGCCCACGGGCCTGTGTAGAGCTGAGGGTCCAAGCCGAAGTCCAGCCTGAGCAGCCTCCTTGGCATGGGGGTCCCAGGGGAGCACGGCAGGCTTGCCTGACATTCTGGCCATGGGCACAGACTGAGGGCACAGGCACCCTCTGATCCGCATCGCCTCCTCCCAGCTGGCTGCAGCCTCAGCACCTCCCCGAGGATGGCCTTAGCACCCTCAGCACCTCCCTGGCCCAGGCACTCCACAGGGCTGGCCCCAGCACCACCTCTCCGAGGCTGGCCCGGCCACCTCCACGGGGCTGGTCTTTGGCCTGCTGCACTCAGGCTTCTCCTTCCTATGCCAAATAGAGGGGTTTCTGTGGTCACCAGGGCTTGTCCCCTCCTGGCCCTGGCGTTTCATGGGATCATTAGGCTGCTTCAGATGGGCTTGGACCCCAGTCCATGCTCACCTGTTCTCACCACCTGGGATCATCCCCAAAGGACTCACACAGGCCAGGACACAAATGTATACAGCGGCCGTTTGGGGGCCATTAAGAGACAGGCGGCACCGAGAGGACCCCGAGAGGACCCCGAAAGGAGGGATAGGTGAGAGCACCACACACCAGCTCACTGCAGGGGCTGGGCACGTGGCAGCCCTTGCTGAACTGGTGACTCAGCCAGTGGGAGGAAGATCCAGCAGGAGAAGCCCAGGACCTTCCCTGGGCCCTGGACACAGAAAACGTCTCCTCAAACTTATTTTTAAAGAATTGCTGCAGTGAAGCAGCAGCCATACGAAATGCAGGCGCCAGGCTTCCCGGACAGAGCTGGCTGGAAGGTTGGCAGGTCTGGGTGAGACCGGGATCTGAGACAGTCGCAGGCCACCGAGGGAGAGGGGCAAGGGGGAGATAGACCACAAAAGTAGACAGCCTCGAGCTGACCTCTCTGAAAAACGCCAAGGAGCCACGTGTGCAGTGGGCGTGGCCAGCTTGGTGCTGCCGGTCAGCATGAGGCAGAGGGAGGAGCAGCGCAAGACGGTGCTCCTGACCCAGCCAGAGCCATGGACCTGAAGATAGACAGAGCCATAACCACCACTGGCCACCTCAGCCTTCCTCCTCCAGCAATTGCAGATCAGTGGACAGATGGGGCAGGACACAAGAGGCGTGACATGTGGCCAGACAATCACCCAAGACTGAGGTCACATTCCTCTTTAGTGAACAATGAGTTACTCAAAGGGCGGAGCAGACAAAAGCCCAGTCCTCCAGGAAAGCAGCAAGTGACCTGAGGGTATGGTCTGACCACCGAATTAGCTCTCCACTCTCACCCCAGATACTTGGTGATCCAATAACAAACTTCTAAAATAATCCCTTCAAAGAAGTCACCAGGGAAACTGGCAACATTGTGAACTGAATGAAAACAAGCACGAATGTGTCAAACCTTGTGGGAGAGTGCTGATGCTTGGAGGAAGCTTACCATGTTGGTCACTGTGCCAGGGAAGAAGGAAGAAAACCAGGAGCAGACCAAACCCAAGTCAGTTGAAGGAGCATGAAACAGGCGTGACGGCCCACACTGTCATCCCAGCCAGGCTCAGCAACCCAACAAGACCCAGTCTCAATGACAAATACCGGGCAGCTCAGTGGTAGAGCACCCTGCGCTCAAGCCACAGTTCACAATGATAATAATCGATAATTATAAATCAGTGGAATAGGAAATAAATAAACCACAGGGAACTGGTCTAGGTGGCACCCGCCTGTAATCCCATTGGCTCAAGAGGCTGAGGCAGGAGGATTGAGAGTTCAAAGCCAGCGTCAGCAACTTAGCAAGGCACTAAGCAACTCAGTGAGACCCTGTCTCTAAATCAAATACAAAATAGGGCCGGCTGGGGATGTGGCTTAGTGGTCAAGGTTCCTGAATTTAAAAAGTAAAGAAAAGAAACAACAGGGAAAATCAAAACCTAAAGTTTGAATTTTGAAAAGAACAATAAAATCGTAGGTATGTAGAGACTGCTCAAGGAAAAAAGAGAGAAAACACAAATTACCACTATAAAGAATGCCAGGGGGACGTCCCAGCAGAACTGCAGACAGTAAAGGGACAAGGACATTAGGAACACCTTCGTGCTAGAAAGCACAGTAACTTGGGCCCTTGGAGATCATCAACATGATCAAAGTTCTCCTACAGACATTTTGAAAGATCGAAGTAGCTTATGCCAAGTAAAGAAATTGAACTACTGATTCTAAAGTCTAACCACAACAGTAGAACCCCAGACCTCCTCACAGCGGTCAGGTCAGCACTGGAGGGAGAGGGACCATGCCCCGGGCCCGCTCAGAACCCAGGAGGGCTCCAGGATGCAGTCCAGGAAGGATGTGGTCAGAAGGGCCCAACAGGCTGTGTGCAGGGGTGGCAGCTCCAGAACCCAGTGTCCACTGAACCCAAGCATCTGGTGGACAGCTTCACCGTCCTGCAAGGGATGAACCCCTTCCTCACAGACCACACGAAGTGGACTGGGTCCACCTCTGCACCTGCTGACCCTCTGGGACCCTGGGGAAGGAGATCACAGGTCTCCAGGCAGCCAGATCTCTGGGACTCTTGCAAGACCCTCTGTTCTTGGACCCTCTGGGCCTGTGGCCTGGGCATGGAAGTGGACACTGGCCTGGTACTTCAGAGCCCCTTTTCAGGTGTGGCCAGGCTGAGAACTGGCAGGACACAGTTTCTCAGCATCGTTAGTGCCCTAGCCACAGATGTGAGACAGCCCAGGAAGCCTGTCCTTCATCTGTGGAAGCCATACTCTGCCCTCAGTGTCCCTGTCCCCTGCTGTCCCCCAGACATGCATGTGGTCAGGTGACAGCCTCTGCAAGCAAGCCTATGACCCTCATTGGCCCTCCCTGACCACCCACCTCTGTGTGGCCCCTTCTTCCCACCTCCCATGGCCTCCATACCCCATCCCCATGGCCTGGTGGCAGGGCATTCCCAGTGGGTCCCAGCTCACCTGCCACTTCAGCCTACCCTGATGGGCCGGTGGGGTATGGGACCAGGGTCTTGAGAGTGTCCCCACTCTAGTGGAGTTCTGCTGGTCCAGATCCCATCTCCTGCCCAGAGGAAGCACCTGCCCGCCCAGTCCAGCGAGCCCCATGCCTGCTCCAACGCAGGTGGTGCTGCATCCAGGTGCCTCCACTGCCCTGTGCAGCCCAGTTCCAGGGACCATGTGGCCCCTGTGGCCTCAAGTCCACGGGTGGCACGGCCTCCACCTGCAGCCTAGGCAGCCTGCTTGGTCCCCTGCCTGTCTGGAACACAGCATAAGACCAGGCCGTCCTGGGTCCAGAGGGTCACAGTTCAGACGACAAATGAGCATGGGTGGGCACTAGGGAAAGGACAGGTGGCTCCCAGGGAGGAGCTCCAGGCAGCATCAGAGTCCCACACCGCGACAGAGAAGGGGCATGCAGGATGGCACTCCACCCTGACACCGCCCCAGCCCACCAGCGGGGCATGACTGCTGGTTGTGGGCCACAGACACGCCTTCTCCACCGACTCAGCCAGCGTCCTCACTATCCAGCCACCAACAATCCCAGCCATCCTCAACTAAATGACTCCTCCTCCTCCCCTCCTCCCTCACTCCCCCTCCTCCCTGTCACTCCGCCTCCTCCGTCACTCCTCCTCCTCCCCCTTTCCCCTCCTCCCTCACTCCTCCTCCTCCCCCCTCCTCCTCCCCCTCACTCCTCTTCCACCTGACTCCCTCTCCTCCCTCTCTTTTCCTTCTCCCTCACTTCCCTTCCTCCCACACTTCCCCTCTTCTTCCTGAGCTCCACCTCCCCCACTCCTCCTCCCCTGCTCCTTTACATCCTCCCCTGCTCCCTCTCCTCCCCCTCCTCCCTCACTCCTTTTCCTCCTCCCCCATTCCTTCTTCTCCCTTGCTCCCCCTCCTCCCCTCACTCCTCCTCAGTGTGAACAGCCCAGGGTGAGGGAGGTACATCCTTGGGTTCCAGCGCTCTCAGGACCCTGGGATAAGAGTGGGTGGGGTCCTCACTTGGGTTGGCGTGTGCCAGGTGAGGGCCAAGTGCAGCCTGACTGTCCCATACAGGGCCAGTCTTCTTCCTGGGCCTCAAGGCAGAGCCACCTGCCCCTGCTGAGGAATTCACAAGAGCCACCTGCTCGGTTGGCCTCTCAATGTCCTGTCCAGGTCAGGGGCTCTTGCCTGCCCCCAGCCACCGGAAGCCTCCAGTCCCCTTGAGAGCAAAGATCCATCAGTCCAGGGAGGACAGCATCCTTGGACGTCCAGGTGGTCTGGCCCTCCTCCTCTCTCCCTCTCCCCTCTGGTGCTTTTCTGTCCTGCGGATCTGTGTGGGCCAGGGAGGGCGTCCGAGAGCCCTAGGTCACAGGGTCAGGGCACCATCTGCCCTGGGCCTGTGCATGGAGGGCCCCAGAGACTGGCTTGGGCATGGGTAGAGCTGAATAGGAGGGACAGCCAGGCCTGGGAGGCAGCTTCTTGGCCATCCAGCAAGGGGTGGCATCTCCTCCTCGTCCCCAGTGCTTCCAGGCCACCCACCTGAGCCAGGGCTGTGCAGGGCTGTGTCCAGGTGGTGGCCAGCCTGGCTGGGACCTCACTGTTGGGACTGCATCCCTGCAAGGTGCAGGCCTTCTGCCCAGTGGCGGGTGGCTCCGGTGCTTGTTGATTTGCTCTTGGAAGGCTCTGTGCGCTGTCTACATCTGGATTCTGGGGTCTTCACCCCTGATCTCTGCAAAGGCAGGATCTAGCTGAAGCATATCTGGTGGCCCTGTGGTGCCCATTACTGACTTTCAGCCTGCCTCCTCCCTCTCCTGACATTTAAGAAATTTAAATTATCTTGTGTCTATATCTGGCCCCAGGGGTGCTCTGCCACCAAATCCACACAACCAGCCCCTCCCCGCTTTCTTTTTCTTTTTTAATTTTGAGACAGGTTCCAGCTAAATTGCTGAGGCTGGGCTCCAAATTTTGACTCTCCTGCCTCGGCCTCCTGAGATGCTGGGATCACAGACATGTGTCAACCTGGTTCCTGAACTTCTTCAAAAACTGTAATCTTGTTTTCCCAAATCTTTCCTACCTACCAGGCACCCTGTCTCAAAATAAAAAGGGCTGGGTGTGTGGCTCAGTGGTGGAGCACCCCTGGGTTCAATCCCAGCATGGCAGAACAAACAAAAAGACCCTCCTGCCCACTCTCCTGGGGTGGCAGCCAACACGGAACAAGTCCGGAGGGGTATTTAGTCTCAGATGTCCCACAGGCTGCTCACCCTGTCAAAAGCCAAAGGAGGACACCAGCACTCCTCTGCCCCCACCCGCTCCCAGGCAGGAGACCTGGCAGGGACCTCAGTTGGCTCAGCTCATAGGCTTCACTCCTGGACTCAGGGCCCTGCTCTTCCCCCTGCCCAGGGACACTGACTTCGGGCACTCAGTGCCACCTCTGCTGTCGAGGAGCTCCGTGCCTCCCCATCTTCCCAGCAGCCAAGTGGGCCAGTGGCATGGCTCTGGGCCTGGGAGGAGCAGCCTCATGGCAGTGTGGCCCAGGGGCCTCCCTCCCTCTGCTGTGTGCTGCCTCCTGCTGCCCACCTGGGCCTTGCTGGACGGGTGCCCTCCTGGGGCAGGTCCTCTGCGCTGGCACAGCACACACCCACTCTTGCTGCACCCCAAGTCCCATCTGCCCGGTCACTCCCCACACACCAGGGTCTGCTCCAATTCTGTTATCCGCCCATGCCCTGTAGACACAAGGCCCATGACGCCAAGGGGACCCAGTGACAGCTGGCGCACCACAGACTTCCTAGGGTCCCGGTGCTGCAGGGCCAAAATAGCTCCTCCTCCTGCCTCCTGGGTGGAAAGCACTCCCAGAAATACCCACACGTGACACGCCTCACTACAGTGTCACTGGAGGGGGAGGGAAGCCATGTGTCACCAAGAAAGGCTTAGCTCAGCTTTCCTACGCTGCCTGGCTTGGCCAGGGCACCAGGGGGGAGACAGCCCCAAGCTCTAGCACCCACCTGTGCTCATCACTGAACAAGCCCCTGCCACATCCATGCCCCTGAGGACTCACGAAGCCGCCCCTCCCTGCCCTCAGCTTTGAAACCTGCTCCTGAGTCCCAATGCCAAGCAAGAGCTCTTTTTCCCTGGCTGCCGCCTCTGGGGAGCTCCCTTTCCATAGGGCCAGCTCTGCTGTCCACAGGCTGAAGGAGGCCTCCCAATGCACACCCCAAGCTAGGTGCTCAGTCAGAAGTCTGGGGCTCTGCCATGCAGCTGGAGGGCTCTGGTCCAGGGTGGGCAACCCAGGACCCCACCCTGTGGTCCAGGAAAGCCATCCAGTAGGGGCTCAGTTCTGAGCCTTGAGAAAGTGGGGTGCTGGACGCTCCAATGGCTGGGTCAATCCCATTCAGCCTGGAGCCCCCTGTCCACAGTGGACATGAGCCCCTGGCTGCCTGCAAGGCCCTGAGCATGCCCCAGGCCCTGAGACCCTCAGGGGTCCCCCTGCCGTCCCATGTTGAACTCACTCCTACTTCCAGGGTCTGCCTGGGGTTGGCGTCCAGGGTTTCAGGAACCAGAGAGGTGGAGCTGTGGGCTGGGGCTGTGCTGAACCATGCTGGCCATGCTCTAGGCACCTGGAAGCAGAGAGAAGGGGCTGTCAGACCCCCTCAGTGAGGTTCTCCCAGCCACTTGGCCAAACCCCAGACCCGTGGGGTGTCTGGCAGGCTGGAAGCAAATCTTCATGCGGTGAATATGTCTGCATGTGTGTGGGGTGACCAGGCCATCCCTGTGTTCAGGGGCTGGACCAGCCTCTGAGAAAGTGGAAGGGAAGGTCACAGTAAATGCCTGCGAAAGGGGACAGGTGGTCAGGGCTGGCCTTTGGGACTGTAGAGAGCAGAGCTGGTGGCCTGCAGCTGCCCCACTTTGGCCCACTCCTGGGGCAGGGCCCTCGGCTTTGCAGCCAGGAGGCTTTTCACCAGAGGCTTGGAGGCAGTGATTGCTGGTACTGAAAGCCAGGGCCCTGAGGCCAGGCACCCTGGAGCACCCACGATGCCCCAGGCCACTGCCCATCAGGATGCCCTTTCTGTTTTCTGGGGCAAGCCCCACTTCTCACAGCCTTGGGGAGCACATCTGCTGTGAAGGGTGCCAGACCTTTCTGGCTAAGCTCTGGGTCTGTGGTGAGGTGGGCCAAGGCCTTGAGAGTGGTCACTGCCCTTCCACCAGCTGGCCATTGCAGTCCAGACCCAGAACAGGGTCCAAGGCAAAAGAAGCCACTGCAGGCAGGACAGAACCTCTGGTACTGACACCTGGCCAGATGCCTCGCCAGGGCTGCAGGTGGACACCAAGAGACCCTGGAAGTGCTGTGAAGGCTCTTCCCTGGCCCAGAGTGGGTGGAGCCCTGACACGTAGGAGCTGCTGTGGCAGGGCTGTGGCGCAGCCTTTCTGGGGCTCTACAGGACCTGGGCGGAGGGCTGGGGTGGACCCTGGGTGGAGGGCCCTGCCAGGCCAGGAGTCCTCACAGAGCCCTCTGTTCTCGTGGGCCTGGCCAGGTTGTTCTCTGGAGGGTGGAGTCTTTGAAGCCAATTGAAGGGCAGCAAAGGAGGGGGCTTAGCAGGGTCCACACCAGGCTTGACGGGAAGAGTACACAAGCCTTCATGGCTGGCCTCTGGGTGGGACCCTCTCGTCCTGGCTACAGCTCCTGTGCTGCTCCTACCTGGCCTCTGGCCTTTCCCTGCCCAGGAAGGAGCCCCATCCCCATCTTCCATATTCGTGCAGAGGCCTCTGCTTTTTGGTCAGCTGGGGGTTGGGGCTTCAGCAGCACCCATATCTAGCTGTCAGGTCAAGTGGAGCCTATCTGCCTGCAGTGCCACCCCCTTGGCCCCAGGAGCAGACATGTGGTGGGGGGGAGCTCCTGACACCCAGCTGTGGCTCCTGCTTGACTGGGCAGGCAGTGTGAATAGCTCAGCCCCAGAACTTCCTGAGAAGGCTTCTCAGCCCCAGCAGCTTCCCTTGCTCAGGCCCCAGGTGCTGGACCTGGGACTGTCACCACCCTCATCTGTCCCTGCCAGGAGGGTCCTGGCTGGGCTCTCTCCCCTAGATCAGGACCTGGATGAGTGAGAGCAGGAAAAGGAGGCTGGGTATGGACAGATGTCAAAGGAGATGGAAGAGGCAGAGATGGGGGCGAGGTGGGAGGAGAGAGAGAGAGACATGGGGACAGAGAGAGAGAGAGAGAAAGTGAGACCGAGGGGAGGGGAGGGACAGACAGACAGAGAGGGACAGAAAGAGAAAACAGAGACAGACAGACATAGACACAGGAACCTACAGGGACCTAGGGGGTGGGGGTCAGAATTCAAAGTCCAGCAGAGATGGTTGGGGGGTGGTACTCCCCCAGGCCTGGGCTGTGCAGTGGGTGCAGTTGACCTTGAAGTCCAGCACTGATGCCCTGGACTCGTAACTAGAGGACCCTGGCCTCCCTAACCTTGAGTGGACCATCTTAAGACACTGGGTTAGCTCCCTGCCAGGTATCTTATAAAGGTAGCTGAGGTCAGCTGTGGGACATACTCCTGGGCTCAGGAGGTCACACTGGGGTCTTCTGTGGGGTGGGTTCCACCTGATGGAGGGGTGGAGAGAAGAGGTGCTTGTGGAAAGAAGTGACCACTCTCTTACTTGGACTAATTCTTCTCCTTTGCCCCTCTCCCTCTAGATTCTGAGTACCCTGATGGCCAGACCAGCACATCGGGAACAAGGACCTCCACAGAGCAGCCACCTGGACTGGATGGCGTCTGTGTACCCATCCTCTAACGTGCAGGGTGAGGGTGAGGTGAGACTGAGTTGAGAGGGACAGTGCCTCTTGTGGTCAGCCAGGGTCCACGGGTGGTCACTGGGTGTCTTTGGCCCTCCGGGGTGCTGTGGGTCCTGCGAACCCCCCCCCTCCACTTGGTCCAGACTCAGTGCAGAAACCTTACTTATCAAAAGGAGCCACATGCTGAAGGGCTCCTTGGGTCCTGGACATGGGGCCCCCTGGGAATGGTCTCCCCTGGGTTGGTAATGCTCAGTGGAATGACTCAGGCTAGAGGGAACAGGGACAAGTTAATGCAGTGTCCACCACCACCTGCTGTCCTGGAGCCAGGCTCCTCAGGAATCTGAGCAGCTCTAGGTGGCCGCAAGCAACCAAGGCCAGGGCTGAGCCATGCCAGGCTGGGAACTGCAGGGACTGCAGGGCCAGGGGCTGCAGCGACCTACCAGCCTGCAGTGCAGTGGTGGGGAGCAGATGGGCCAGGGGAAAGGGTGGCTGACTTGCGGGATTACTGCGACTCTCTGCAGGAATGAGCACCCAGTCGTCCTCTGTGACCTTCAGAAGTACCCCCCACCCCTTCCAGCTCCCCAGGCTTGGGAGTGGGGCAGCAGGGTCTCTTGGCCTCTGTCCCACCGAAGCCAACCTTGGCAGCTCCGCTGCAGAGCTCACAGCTTGGAGGAGGGCCCCTCCCGCGAGGGTCTCGGTGGGTCTGGGGTCTGAGGCAGCTCCTGCCGATCCTGCCTCCGCAGGGCCGGACCGCTCGCCAGGAACCCCGTCCCAGGCTGCGGGCTGGGTGGAGATGGTGACCCCAGCCATGCCTTTGCCCTCCGAGGGGTCTCGAGGCCCCGCGGCTGGGGTCGGTGCCCCGCACTCCCACAGACACGGGTGGGATTCGAGCCAAGTCACCCAGGCACGGA